AATATCCAGCGAGTGTCGAAGATTTTGGTGCTCCAAGTGAATGTAAAGAGGGCTCTAGTGAGAAGAATATTAGAGCATGGTGTGGAATTTACAATGGTATTGGAATATACAATTTTAGTGGATTAATAATTTGCTCTTGTTCGTATATTTGTAGCTATTATTGCAAGCTATTTCATTGGAAGTTCCTTACAGTTTATTGTCTTTCTCTATTTTGCTCTAGAAATTGATAGAGCACAATGTTATATAGCAATCTAGAGATTCAATTGGCTCTAATACGCCATTTTTATGTCACAACTAATGAAGTTGTTTCTACTGAGTTTCTGTAGGGGTATAATTACACTCAAAGTCCATTGGATTTCACCGTTTTGCTTTATTTTGCTCTATAAACAAATAGAGCACAATGCTCTATCATATTCAACAGTTCCATTCAGCTCTAGACCACCATTTTCAAAGGTACATTCTTTAAAATCTCCAATGCTCTCTCAAAGAGGTGTAATTTCATCCCAACTCTCTCACACCCAACTGCTCTGCTCTATTTTTCTCTAGAAATGGATAGAGCACGATGCTCTATGAACAAATTCCATTTAGCTCAAATCCACAATTTTCAAAGTCACTTTAAAATCTCTAATAATCTCTCAGAGAGGTGTAATTTCATCCCAACTCTCTCACACTCCATTGCTCTGCTCTATTTTGCTCTATAAATGGATAGAGCACGATGCTCTATGAACAAATTCCACTTAGCTCTAATCCACCATTTCCAAAGTCACTTTAAAATCTCTAATAATCTCTCAATGTGGTGTAATTTCATCTTCACTCTCTCACACTCCACTGCTCTGCTCTATTTTGCTCTAGAAATGGATAGAGCACGATGCTCTATGAACAAATTCCACTTAGCTCTAATCCACCATTTGCAAAGTCACTTTAAAATCTCTAATAATCTCTCAATGAGGTATAATTTCATCCCAACTCTCTCACACTCCATTGCTCTGCTCTATTTTGCTCTATAAATGGATAGAGCACGATGCTCTATCAACAAATTCCATTTAGCCCTAATCCACATTTCCAAAGTCACTTTAAAATCTCTAATAATCTCCCAATGTGGTGTAATTTCATCTCCACTATCTCACACTCCACTGCTCTGCTCTATTTTGCTCTATAAATGGATAGAGCACGATGCTCTATGAACAAATTCCACTTAGCTCTAATCCACCATTTCCAAAGTCACTTTAAAATCTCTAATAATCTCTCAATGAGGTGTAATTTCATCTCCACTCTCTCACACTCCATTGCTCTGCTCTATTTTGCTCTATAAATGGATAGAGCACGATGCTCTATCATATTCAACAATTCCATTCAACTCTAATCCACCGTTTCCAAAGGTTACCATTCATTGAAGCCTCCATCGAATCTCTCAGAGTGATCGCATCCAAAAAATCCCTCATGCTTCCCTGCTCTATTTGCCTCTACAAACAACAACAGAGCACGATGCTCTATCAACAATTCCATTCAGCTCTAATCAACCCGTATCGCCTTGTATAGTTGACGCGATCGCGTCGACGAATGGGAACGCGAACTTTGTTGCGGAAACTCGTCTAAATTTAGGAGCATGAAACGTAATATTTATTACGAAGTGAGGAGGAAGAGGGGGGAGGAGGAGGGGAGTGTACGAGAGATGAGCAGCTGCAGCGTCACGCAATTAATCGAATGCAACGGTGGACCGGCCGCAATTGGATCCATCGCATTCTAGAGATCCGAAGTAAACAAGTCTCGGGGAGGTTCGCGATTTGTACGGATTCGTTTTGCTGGAAGGAATTCTGGCGAGGTGATAATTTCGCCTCCCTTCCTTGTTCCTTATAAAGATAACGTGGAAATGGGAGCGAGAGGCGATTTAACGAGGAAAAAAAGCGAAGCGAGGAGGTAGTTCGCACTCCATACGCAGTAAAAAGTTCCACTCTAAGGGATATTTATCATCCTGTTGGCTTCTTCTTCCTCCCCTACGGCTGCCCGTCTCTTTTTCTTTCCTCTCTCCGCCCGCTTCTACCAACTTTTTACCATCCGTTTCCTTCCCGTTCTTTCCTCTTCAGCCAACGAGACCCCCTCGTCGTTGTTCGCAAAACAATTCCGTCCACCGTGAAATACGGCGGAATTAATATGGCGGGCCATCGCCAGCTGACCGTGGACGCTCCACCTCGCGTTTTTATCAATTTATTAGAAACGCGTGGAACCACGTTCGGCGATGGTGAAAGCATTTATCGATTCTTTGCGTGGGAGAGATTGAGAAAATCAATTGCGTTCCACTGTTTGCATCGTTACTTCGTTTTTTGGTTCAACTTGTCGCGTTCATTTTAGAGCGTTTACACGATTCGGCTGTATTTTAACTTGTCGACGGACCAGTAGAGGACGTTTCGTTGACCCGAGGTTAAGGAGACGCTAAAAACTTGTTCTAAAAGATTGTTATAATTATAAAAACGGGAAACAATAATTAGCTTCCTACGAATAACACGCAGTTTTGAACAAGTTCCGAAGAGTAATATTGCAAATTCACGATAAAACGAAAGAATAATTCCCGGATAGAAAGAGAAATGTCCTCTCGGAATGGAAACAATAGGATCGAAGTTAATTCATAGGCTGTTTTCCCTACGAATGCACCGGTCGCCAGCCATCGCGACGTTTCTATCGCAACCGTGCGCCGCGAATTTATAAAACCAGCCGCGGAACAATCACGATCCATAAATCCCCGCGCGTATGATCGCGGTCGTTGAACGTGGGACGCGTGCCCTCGTAAATTTCGTCGTGGAAGTTGGCAAACGTCGCGACGCCGACGGAAAAAGGAGAAAAAGCCGAGGAACGGGCTCTCATTAAGGCGCGAGGAGCTCCTTAGGCGTCGATTCCCAAGGCGCTCGTTTCGAAACAGGTCGCATCTAATATGGCGCCGCTTTTCCACCGCCTGGCTTTTTACTTTTCCCGCTCGTCAACATCCATGGTCCGTTCATTTACTTGCCTGTGCCTCTTTGGGACCATTCATATTCTACAAAAATTTTTGTTAATACTTCTCAGTAATATATACGACCTGTAATTGTATATATTTTGTAATATATGTATTGAATAACAATTTTTTACTTCCTCTTATTTTATCAAATTTTATTGTGCTTGAAAATTGAAAATTGTGGCGCACTTTTTTTTTTTGTGATTATGTGGACATTGATACAATCAGTTTCGCTTATTAGATTTAAGTGATTTGTTTTTAAATTTTGTTTTTAAATTTTGTTTATATATATTGGATAATATTTATATATACATATATTGTTCATTAACATGTATCGAAAGTATTTGAATTTAGCTAAATATTTCTTAGTTTCTTAATTTTCAAACCTTAGAGCATGTAATATTATTGTATATTATTTAAACAACGTAGGCAATTTAACTAAAAATCAACGTAAAGTTGTAATTAGATACTTAAGAAGCTTCACAGTAGAACAATTCACACTGGATCAGACAGTTCATTGGCTGACCAATTGAGTTCGTTGTCAGTCGATGAGTTTTCATGACTTTCCACGAATTTTTCATGAATTTCCATAAGTTTTCAATTTATTTTCAAAAGTTCATGAGTTTTCCACGATTGTTTACGTTTTTATGAGTTTTTTTTTTACAATTTTCATGAGATTCCAAAACTTTCCTTCAATTTTCATAAGATCTCATGAGTTTTCCATGATTGTTTATGTTTTCATGATTTTTCAAACAGTTTTCTACATTTCTTATAAGATTTCATGAGTTTTCCCACGATTGTTTATGTTTTCATGAGTTTTCCAACACTCTCCTTCGATTATCGTGTGATTTCATAAGTTTCCCATGAGTTTTCCATGATTATTTATGTTTTCATGATTTTTCAAACGGTTTTCTTCAATTTTCACAAGATTTCATGAGTTTTTCATGAATTTTCCACGATTGTTTATATTTCCATGAGTTTTCCAAGACTTTTCTTCAATTTTCACAAGATTTCTTGGGCTTTCCACGAGTTTTCCAACACTCTCCTTTGATTTTCGTATGATTTCATAAGTTTCCCATGAGTTTTCCACGATTGTTTATGTTTTCATGAGTTTTCTTTCATTTTCACGAGTTTTTCAATACTTTCCTTCAATTTTCACAAGATTTCCTGGGCTTTCCACGAGTTTTCCAACACTCTTCTTCAATTTTCATACGATTTCATGAGTTTCCTCTGAGTTTTCCATGATTGTTCATGTTTTCATGAGTTTTCAAACATTTTTCTTCATTATTTCATAAGATTTCATGAGTTTTTCATGAATTTTGCACGATTGTTTATGTTTTCATGAGTTTCCCAAACTTTTCTTCAATTTTCACACGATTTCATGAGTTTTCCACGAGTTTT